AATATTCTTGTAAAGAATTACTTATTAATTAGATTTAGATCCTGCCTTTCCCTCAGGAGTTCAAGGCTCCCTATGTCCTTCAACTTCAGTAATCCTCTTGAGATAGGGTAGCCTGTGACTGTCCCAAAGTTAGTCACTGACCTCTCAAAGTTGAGAGTGGACTTGAACCTGATCTCTCCAGTCCTTAACCACTACATCACACTGGCTTTTATTCAACTTATTTACTTACTTACACTATTCAACTAATTAATATTTATTTATTTATATAGCAAATTTATAGGACATCCAATCCCAATTCCTCCTGGTGGCTATCAAAAATATAATTGGGTAATACAATGATAAAATCCATAAAAGATGAAAACTCAAAAGGCATGAGTAAAAAAGTATATTTTGAGCTCCCTCATAAAGTACAGTAATAAAGGTACCTCCCTCAACTTCAGCAACAATTTATTATATGTTCTACCACAAAAAAGGCAAAATTAATTCTCTGTGTTATATATGTCTTTGACAGGGTCTGCAAAAGTGCTTAGTTAATTATCTAAGCTGGTAGGCTGGACTGCACTGCCCTGGACAGCTCTGCAAGTAACTTGTGCCTAAGCTGTGTAAGCTTAGAGCTGAAGTTAGAGCTGAAGGACCAGGTTAGGGACAGATCTTCATGGAGAAAATCTATCTATGTGGTCACTAAGAGTCAACAATGACTTGATGGCACATAATCAATCGATCAATCAATCAATCAATCAAAAGCTGTGTAAAGCTATGACACTGTGAGTGCCTACAGCTGGGTTTTGAAAGCTATTGGGAAGCAATGCAACTGTCTCAGCACAGTGGTGATATGGCAACCCCTATGCTGCCACGTGCTGGGCCAGTTGCAATTCCTATACTGTCCAAGGGCCTCCCCTCAATACATACACTGTAATAATTCAGCCTTTGAGGTTACCAGCATCTGGATCACTGACACCAGGTCTCCGTCTCCAGAAAGGGGCACAATTGGTTTATCAAATGAAGCTGATAAAAGGCCCCCATTGCCACTGATGTCATGTGGCTATCCAGCATCAATGCTGGATCCAGGAAGGACCCCCAGACTGTGAACCTGAACCTTCAGGGGGAGTACAACCCCATCCAGCACAGGCTTATCTCCTGAATCTTGAAGTTCAGCCCCTGGATCAGCAACAAGTCCATCTTGTCTGGTTTCAGCTTCACCTTGTTCTCCCACATCCAGTCCTTTACAGCCTGGAGACTTGCAGAGGCTCTTGAGACATCCAACCCTGAGCTTGCAGGAAAGGAGAAGTATAGCTGAGTATCATCAGCATACCGACAGTGACTAGCTCCAAACCCGCACGTGATCCTTCCCAGCAGCCTCATACAGATATTAATAATATGAAACTTTGCATGACCTGCAGGACAATCCCAAAGGATTGAGCAACAGTCTCTCGTATCACTTTCTAGTACTGCCTTGGAGTGAAAGGAGCAGAATTGCTGAAACACATTGCCTCTAACATTCAGCTTTTTCAGCAGCTCCAGCAGGTTGGCATGGCCAATCGAATCAAAAGCCACCAAAAAATCCAGGAACATCAATAAGATTGCACTTTCCTTCTCTCCTTCTCCCAGAAATGGCCTATTATTTATTGTTGATTTACCCTCTTTATTTTTACATTGTTTAACAACATACCAAATAAGGTACAAACACATGTATACTTTTCTAGTAATTTTAAAAGTTATTTAGGTAAAAACAAAAATTATTATCCTGATTTTTAAGAGTCTTTCCATCTCTACACTATTCATTTTCTACTCCTGGCTGAGCTCTTTCACCTGAGTACCCTTCTTCTTGTCTACTAGAAGATGACAAACTCTATTGAAGAGCAAAAGCTCAAAAACGTCTACAAATTTCAAGTACCCACAACTCCTGTCATTCAGTTCATAGCTTTGGAGCTCTCGTGGTCTTACTGCCAATATGCTTGATATCCTTTCATGCTGACCAAAATGTGAGCTCAATACCAGTTCTAAACAGAATCCACTAAGCCAAAAAACTGTGAGGGCTGCAATGGAAAACATGGTAGAATGATCATCAGAAAAGCAATGGGAGCCTCCTGACCCCATCTCACTCCAGGGGCATACTTCAGGCCAAAGGCCTTTTTTTACAGACTTAGATTAAGACTTACCAAGTCATTTTCTACAAGGAATGAGGACAGATCAACCAACACCCATGTTGGGATCATGAAAAACACAGCATGGCACCCAAGGATGTTCAACAGCCGGAGATGGTGTATTCGTGAGTCTCTTAATACCTGTAAGATTGAAGGATTCAGAAACAGCCTCTTCTTCAAGAGCCAATTTCCTGAAAACTGAAATATAACTGCTGTATCTCAAAAACACAATTTCTTTAATTGTGTACAACTGAACCCAGTGGCAGTGATTAATCCAGCTTTTCTAATTTGGTGTCCTACAGATAAATTGCATCTCAGCTTTCAGAATTCCCAGCCTGCATAGCTGTGCGAAATGAAATCTATTTTGAGTCAGAGGCATCAAAGCTAAACAATAAAATAAGAAATTTGAAAAATCTGAACAATACTAGCATCTAACTACAAACTAGCTGGGTGACTGTGTGTGCATATGTGTGTGTGTGCATATGTGTGTGTGTGCGTGTGTGTATGGAGACAGTCTAACACATAGTGGCAGGGTGTAAGACGCAGGCAGGAACAGCATACACTGAACAGCACAACCAAGCAGCTGGCCTTGTATACAGGGACATCTGCACCGTATATGG